CACGGTCGAAAAGGTACCGATCAGCATGGGTCGTCGACCCAGTTTGTCGACGCAGAGAGCTCCCACGACAGCCTAGGCGCCAGCAATCAGTAATCGTACATGTAGCTTTTCTGTGAATAGACTTACGAAGGCAAGCTGCATGCAGCTCTTTCCCAAGTTGATGTTCATCTTCTTGATCTCGTCCGTGACGCCTGCAGATTCGAGAACACCAGAGATGAAGTAGTCGACAGCACTGTTTGACACACGATTAGTGACTTCGTTTCTTGTACTAGTCGAGCAGACTTACCCATTGCCTGCCCATTGACCGAAGATCGCGACTATGCAATTGCAAGCGAGGCGGTAGCGCGCAGGACGAGTCTTGAAGAGAGAGCCGTAGTCCCACCAGCGCTTGTCTCCTCCGTCCATGTTGAGGTATTCCTCGTATTCGCGAATCTGCATGGAAACCCAGATGCTGTCCTCATTGCCGCAACCATGGTACTTGGCGAGAGTCTTCTTAGCCTGGGTATGTTTGCCGCGGGTGTACAGCCAGCGAGGGCTCTCTGGAAGAAGAAGAGGTAAAATAACGAGTAAGGCTGGGAAGAGCATCTGAAGCCAGACGGGAATCCTCCAAGATTGGTTGCCCGCGAGATTGGCGGACCCACGTGTGACACCAGCAGCGAGAAGTGATCCGACGAACCAGAAAGTATTGTAAAGACCAGTGATGATACCACGGTGAGCTGGATGCGCAGTCTCGATGACATGAAGCGGACCAGCGGTTGTCATGATTGGGACTGCGAAGCCGAGGAGGAAACGACCACCCATGACTAAGGAGGAACGCGAAATCAGCATAAATCTCATCGAGACGTCGTACGTGGGCGTTGCTTACATTGGCCGACAGGGTTGGACGCAGGAGCAGTTGACTGGATGATGACACCAGTGCAGCCAAGAACTCCGCCAATCATCATACCAATGCGACGACCCCAAGTGTCGCAGGCGGGGCCGATAAAGGGAAGGGCAACAACACCACCAATCTGGTACATGGAGGTGACGATACCAGCCCAGGCTCCAGTACTCTCGACGTTGTAGTACTCCTTGAAGGTGTTGTTGGTGAGGAGCGAGTTGAACATGGATCCGTCGAACCCGTTGCATGTCGAGCAAAAGAATCCCACAAATGCACAGACGTAGAGCAGCATAGCAGAGCTGGAGAAACGTTGAACAGGCTCCTTCAGCTTGGCTTCTGCTATGGCTTCAGAGCCAGAGATGATGGCGATGTCAGCCACAGCACCTTTGTGGTCCTGGTAGGTGTAAGTACAGTCAACGGCTCGTAGTTTGAACATGATACTTACGCCATTCTCTGAGGTCGTCGTAGCATAAGACTCTTTGATGTCCGACATTGCTTTGGTGGAGACACTCCAGATGAGCTGTGTGGAATACGTCTGGGAAACGGGTGGACTATTAAACAAAATCGGATATGCACAAGGGAAGGACCTCAAAGACCAGACTGCCGGGCTATGGCCCGCAATGTCCGGCTAATGCTGCATCCCAGCGGCGTGCTGTCGGACTCGCAGTTCTGGAAATATGTTCCCGAGCTAAATGGACACGGAAGGCTCTGGCCCGCATCCTAATTGGGAAGCGGCTCCAGCATCTCGAACAAGCCTCAACCGTCCCGTTCAAGCGCATGCGCCACATACTTGGGAGAAGTGTAGTATCGAGAGGCATAACTATCGGAATCGTGGACCGTGGGCAATCGTGTTGGCTGCTGCACGACAGCTGCCACTAGGCCAAGACGATCCCAGTACGCCGACAAGGTCCCTGATAGCGAAACAGTAGAACGCGGGGAATCTCCTGGTGTTCACAAACCCGGGACATATCCTTGTCATATGAAGGTATCCCATTTCGCCAGTCTCGACAGGGCTACTCCAACTTGCAACAGTATGGGGGACAGATCGCCTATCCCCGCGTATGCTTTTGGTCTAGAAAATAGAAGGGCAATCCTTCAAATTCAGCAGACAATGGCCAACACTAGCTGGAATGTAGATCGCCCGTGCCAACGGCGGCGCTGGGCGAGCTCAGCACAAAGCTATCAGCAGGATCATGCTGGATGAGGCATTGAAGGCTGACGCAGGAGGTGACCCCAGGTGATAGAAAGGCTTGTCTTGATAGTAGCGGTTTTATCCGCGAATGAGCTCCGATGTCGAGGATTGGCGCGAGCGCAAGCGCATGGCACAGCACATGGCCTAGGGCGGTTGCTGACGCATGATTCTGCATGACAGTCGGCTGGAAGCGCCTCGTTGCATGCCGGGGGTCTCAAGCAAAATTCGATTAGATGAGAGCTAGGTGTATGCACATTGGCGCGTTATGGACGAGTAATGGGGTAAGGATGTCGTGGTGCAACGGAGGAGCCCCCATCACTCGGTTGCCCAGCCGTAAGCGACGGCGCTACTGTGGCGTTCCCGAGGTTACGACCAATGCGGACAGGCGCTACGGAGAGCCTGTCTCCGTGCCAGCTTCGGTCAGGTCAACAACACCTTAAACCAACGGTTTCACGAAAGCTCTACTACGGTAAGAGGCATACGCTCTGTGTGTGGAGAGGCTAACAATATGAGCTCCGGGACTACTTTGGTTAGCATGCCAGCAGAAGAAGAAGAGTCCACGGGTACGTTACGAAGGCTTGGCTATTCTAGCTTGAGTTGCAGTCTGCCTTGAGATGAATTTCAACTGCTGGGTTAGGGTGCGGCATGTGGCGTGCGGTGGGTGAGTATTGATCCTACCTAGGTACAAAAAGGGGAGGTCTAATCATCAGATTGTGGCCATCGGTAATGCGGGCCGTTTCTATCCTCGTCGATTGCTAATACTAATCACAGCGCTTGACGTTTGTCTTTAGATCCTTAAAAAATCTTTGGACTTTGCTCCGAACACATCTTGTTCAGGTCACCGGGCGAATTTCTGAGTCAAGCCTAAAAACACTGCGTCAAAATGGACATGTTTAGCGCGACGAAAAACGAGATGACGCATTAGATCCGGTATCATCGAGGACTGGAATCAAGCGTTATAGGACTACAACAAGGCGTTTAAGACTAACAATTGATGGTAACATATCTAGGGTGCATCGAACTACATCGACTATTCCAAGATTGTGTATCGACCTGTGAATAGGTCGGATCGTCCTTAGCGGTCTCGTCCTGTATTCAATCCTAACCCATCAGGTTTAGAGAGGTATCGTCGTTGTGGCGACATGCCGGCCCAGAAGGCTCGTCAAACTCAATCAGATACCTCTGGTCCTCTGCTTTGGATTGCAGCAATCAATTCCGCATTGCAGACGCCCATGTTAACAAGTTCAGGAGCTATCCCCGCTCTATGGGCGATACCAACCCAAAATCCGCGGGCTGGATCCTCATAGCGAGTGATTTCGAAGAGCAAGTTCATGTTCTCGACACTTAAATCCATCTCGGCGTTCTTTTCCGCAAGAGTGCGCCACCGCGCCAATATCAGCCCGCACATATGGTCATCTTGAAGCTGTGCAGCCAAGCAGTACAGGTCCATTAGTGAGCCGTTTCCGCGATGGAAACCTGCCGGCGCTTTTGTCAAACATCCGGCGGAGCTGCATTGCACGTACCACTGAACGACCTCTATAGATGAGCATTCAACCTGTACTGTCGTTTCGCTGTCGGCAGCCATTAATTGCTGAAGCACCACGGAGCTGCTACCAAGGTCTTCGAGGTCGCCGATGACAACTTCAGATGGTGAGTCATGTGCGTCATGTACCTCTAGTACAACCTTTTCGACGTGTGCCGACATTAGGTCGTCTATGTAGTTATGTACGTCTGCTCGATTTCGAATGGCATCTGGAGGCATCCATCCGGCGATGCGTTCATTGGAGATGGAAACTTCGCCCTTGTCCACACGCATCTGCGGTCTGTCAGCATGAGAGACCTCAGTAGGACCACGAACCTTTTGGTTGCTGGTGTAGGCTTGCACGCAAGGAGCTTGAGCGTGTAGGGCGGCAACCTTCGAGCGCCGAATGGCTTGTGTCTTTGGTTTCTTTGCGTACATTATTTTGAGGGGATAACCTGGATGTTTGGCTAACCAAGCAGGTCGGTGTTGTCGTGCGCGCTTCTCCATCGCCGCTGGACCCACAGACATATCGTACTTTTTGTTGTATGCTTCGGCGACTCCCGGCCACGGCAGCGGGCCGTATGTTTCTGACGACTCGCCATAGGCATCTGGCTTGTTATTGTCGCGTTTTATGATGATGAACCCGACCTGCTCTTCGGCATGGCGTTGCTTCCCCTCTCTTTCCATGGTAAGCATGGCGCGCTGAGTGACACGGTGAGCATTCTTCAGCGTAACTAATGTTGTCTCATCCGCTTGATCCTGTTCCGACTCTTTTTGACCCGGCTGATACTCATCTTCGCTGTCATCTGTCTCGCCTGTGACAATTGAGTCGGACGAATGATGAACTGTTCCGGGACCTGCAGTGGCCTTCAACATCTCCAGAGCACGCAACAAAGCGCTTTCGGAAGTAGCAACAGCATCAAGAACCATAGTTGAGCAAAGCTGGGGTGATCTCAAGATAGAAGAGATCTACAACGCTAAATGTACCTGCCTGGTGTAGACATTCACTAGACGGTATGTATTCACACGCGTGAGTTTCGGGGTGCATTGTCGACGTACCTAGCTACTACTCAGCGGGACGGGATGACTAGTTACAACCTCGATACCCATAGCACGTCCCATCTAGATGATTCTAGTTGAGACATGCTCTTGCGATGTTCGCAAGGTGTTGAGCTTGCATCTTCCAAAAGCATAATTTCACATGCTGTAGGTGCACAATGCTTACGGTCATAGTTTTGGGGATGAGAGAAGGCCAAGGCCGGTTTCATTGATCTCCAAAAGGGCAAAAAGTGATACTGATACTTGTTGTAGTTGTGCGCACGCTGATAAATAGAGTGGGATACATGAACTGACTACGAAATCGCCAAAAATTCACTAGGTGACGTTAAAAAATCGTCTCTAGAGCCTTAGCCCATGGAAAAACGCTTTCCTATCCCCTTCTTCTTACTAGACCCACCAAACTTCGCCCTCATAGCCACCCAACTGCCTGGCTCTTTCTTCAGACGAGTCAAAAACATTGCTACGTCAGCTTTGATGGAATTGAAGCTTAGCATCATCTCGTTCGCGCTTTTCGAAATACCATTGAGATGTGTACGAGCTCGCTCTCCAGCAAGACCATGGTCCTCGCACATCGTCCGATGCACCTGCTCGTAGACATACAAGTCCTGGCTGGCTCCTTCCATGAGCGGATCTAGCTCAAGGGGCAAACTTGAAGTGCTGGAGTGGGCTGGATCGGAAAGCGACCGGAAAAGAATTTGGTAGATGTTCAATATCCTGAATGCGCGAGAGAAGAACCGATCTAAAGGTGCTGCCTCACTAACGATGGCGTTATACAGCGTCTCTGTTTTCTGTACCAGAGCAGCCTTATCGTTAAGAGAGGCGGAAGCAGATAAAACCTCAGACTCTAAGTCGTGAATGAGCGTAGTGAACGTTTCGCTAAATTGCTCGCTTTCATTCTCGACTTCAGACGTATGAGACAGTATCTTTGCAAATTTAGCTTCGTTGGCTGCTATGATCGCTGCGTCGTGTGCGCGAAGGTTGGTGAAAGTTTCAGCTGCCCGTTCGTTCTCGGCCTGTAGTTGCACAATGGTGAACTGAAGTTGTTCTAGCTCTTTTTGCAAACGGTCAGCTCTGGCGATAATTTCATCGGAGGCAGCTTGGTCCGTGACAGCGAGAGCAAGCTCGCGCTCGTAACGTTGTGCACGCCGTTGCGAATCTTCAGCAAGCTCACGGTAGTATTCGATCTGCCGGTGCGCCTGTTGGAGATCGACTTTGAGCGCCTTGAACTCTGCTGGTTGGTCGTCAATCTCTGCTTCCTTTTCCTTGATTTTCGCTCGCAATGTATTGTTATGAGTTTGCAGGTGTTGCTCACGATCTTGAATCTCCCTAATGTACTCTCGCGCTGCTTTGAGTTCGCTCAACTCCTTGAAGTGATCGCGTAAGACGTCTGGGATGGCGTCCTCTATCTGATAGCCTTTCGTTTTGACATTGGCTACAATATCGGACAACTGCTTCCTCATATCCCCGAGAGTAGCCATGAATGCGGTGGCGATGTTGCGTTGCTTCTCGACGGTTGTTGGGATTTTAAACTTGAGCCCGTGGAATGTACCGTCAGGAGTCTAAGAACGAGATTGATGTCGAACATGGTGTTGACATGGTTTCCCGACAGCGTGCATTCTAGGTGTGATGACGTCGATGGCGACGGTAAACCGCATCGTGCCCTTACAATGAAATGATCTGAGCAGTCGGGAATTCGTGACCGAAAAGGGTACTATGTGAGTACCACAGGCATAATTGGCTAGAATATGCCCGCATATCTTTAAGCTATAATGCGCAAGTGGCCGCAAGCTTTGCGCACTATGTGTATCGAGCAGGGAGGTATGACAGCATCCCTCTTAACCGGACAGGTAGTGAGTCGGAATGAATCTAGTATGGCCACTTTCAACCCGCTTTTCCAGACGAGTAGCCGTTTGGTCGAACTTATCGAGCTCGTTCCTAATTGGATCGCACCTTGCTTTATCAGTGGTAGAGACGAGGAGGCCATACTTTACTGGATCTTTCGGTGGGTAGGTCTGCCAGTACGATTGCCTGTTGCTGCTGATGACGGGCTTGGAAGAACGCCGCCAGGTTCGCGACACGTTCCATGCAGAGACTTGTACTTCGGGTCCCGCAAAACGGGAGACGACGTCGAGCAGCTCTGATATTTGGAACACTTGATGTCCCCGGTGAGCACACTGTCAAGATTTTGTTGTTTCTGATGGTGTCGGTATGGTGCGCCGCGCTGGTCAATGATGCATACCGTCAAGAGCTCCTGCATTACGCGAAAAGGACGCGTCGGAATCGGAACGCGTCGCATGCATCGGAACAGGTATGCGCAAGAACGAACGAGATTTGGATCCAAGGCAGCCGTGTGGCAAGCTAAGTCTTTAACATCGGTTTTCAGGCGACGTCATTTTTAGTTGCGCTGTGAGCGTGTAGCCCATAGCTTCCAGCGACATTGTTTTGCTGATGACAATGGTGACTTTGCGTGTGACGTCACATGCGACGCCCCTGAACGCCGGCTTTGTCTGCCTACCCCACTGCCATTCGGGCACCTTTCCAAGGCTCAAACCTCAATCCTTTTGAACCGGACTTGATGGCGACTACTCGGCGCGACGCGTTCCAGGACAAGAACGACAGTACTGTATTGTGAAGCAAAGGAGACGGCTTGTGGCGTCCGATCAAGGCTGCGCCCTCTGGACAAGCTGACCGGTCGCGCGACATGCACTAATTAAATGGTTATGTGCAGTTGCGATACGCCGCTGCGCGCTGCGGGACTGCGCGCTCAAACGTATGAAATGATGACCAGGCATCACTCCAGAGTCTCCTCGCGGGTGTGGTGTCTTTTTGTCTTCTCTGTCTGCATTCTGCGCGTGTAGGATCGCTACTCACATCACAAACTGCTTTCAACCTGCATCGGAAATGGAACCTCACCACTCCCCAAGCAATGATGCGGACTCCATAGGCGCCAGCTGTGGAGGTATGTTTACGTTGTCCAGTATGGGGTGTTCTTGCTAACACTGGAAACCAGGTACCCCGATTTTGTCCTAGTAAGCCCGGCTTTGATCATGTCTGGCAGTGTTAGCTGTGTCTATCCGATTGTCAGTCGCGCCGGATGTTTCACTCCTTCTTCAAGCCAGCAGCAAGCCGCAAGACCCAACGAAAAAATCCACTGTTCCCGGAAACGTAGCTTCTTGACTCAGACTATTCTCATCATCGCCAATCCATTACGCCGCCATTCCCGACGCGTAGACTAGCCCCGATCGATTCATCGAACACATGCTAGTTTGTGTTGATATAGACTCCATGGGTCAAGCGGAGGTACTAACTCGCGGCAAATTGCACAAGCAAGGCTCTGAGTTAGGGTAATGTCTGCAGGAAAACTAGAGCCAACGTCTAGAAGAGCGACAGCCCCTAATACCATGAGGATAGAGCCCGAGGGCATACAAGGTCGTAAAGGCAGCCGAAGCTATAAAGAGTAGAGAAGAAGCCGGTACGAACACAAGCTTGAGAAGAGACCTTATAGTAATGATCCGCTGAGGTGCAGGCACTGTTGTTCGAGAATCCGAGGACATGTTGCTCATAGACAACAACTGACTAACGGGGGTTCCGCTATCTGCACTCATAGTATGTCCGCGAAAGCGCAAGCCCCAGCACCTGTTTTGGAAACGAAATGGAGAAGTGGTTGTGTAGAGTGGAAGAGAAGCGCGGGGTGCAAAGGTTTTGATTGTTGTGACGCCAAGGCACTAGTACAGCACAGGTCCCATCACGTGGGACGTCGCCTCGTTGATGTGCGAAGTGAAGGAGGAGCTGAAGTTCTTGTTACGCGTAAGATATTGTCTGATTGGTTTAACATGTATGCAAAAGTCGTCAGGTGCTCTTATCGGGCTCATATACACTCATATGCTCTCGTGGCGGCGAGCAATGTCGATACTCGTAGCTTCAAGGCCATCGTTCATTGGCTAGAGGACGTGGAATTTCGCGTTTGGAGACCCCCACGTGCAACGCGAGCAAACGGTCGTCGTCAAGTGCCCAGATCCCGGTTCTGACCGATGTTTGTGTCCGTGGCTATTTTCGACTTGGGCTTGATCTCCTCACCTCCTCACACCACCACAGACAAAAAGGTTCTCCTCACATTGCCACACTAGGATGGAGACTGTCGCGCAGGATCTCAAGCGTAAGCACGTCGCCGATGAGCATTCACTGTCGGAATCCGAGGAAGTCAAGCGTACAAAGCATGAGGCGGATCCACAAAAACTGCTTGAGACATCTTCTCGTGTCATTGAGGGCCTCTTCTGGACTCTACCAGTGGAGTTGAAGGACTTAGTATCCGCTCATGTAAGTCTCCTCCCATATGCCAATCACTCTGTCTAACATTGCTAGCTTTCCGAACACGACCTCAAGCAGCGCCTGCAAGTCGCTTCAGGTCTTATACAGACTCACGGCCCACCCATCAACAAGCAGGGCGCCGCAGAATACTTCCTCAAGACGCTCTACAAGACGGTCTTCTTCTCACTACATCCGCAAGATGTGCATACATTCGACGGTTTGGTTGAGGGTTCCACCACGGCCAACTTCAGCGCGATCCGAAACGTACTCTTCGAAACGTTCATACCGACCAACGAGATCTTTGTCCGTCTACTGCAAGGCTTCCGGAAAGACAGTGATTCCAATGTCCGCATCGTCTCCTTCACAGCAGGATCGCTCGTCGACAACGCGACCTTGCTAGTTCTGGAGAAATTCTTCCAGCGCCACATGACTTCTTTAGAGGCCATCGTCATCCCGAGCTACGACGACGGCCCTATTCATAACGCATGGGCTTTCCACTATCCAAGAACCAAGGCCGAGGTCAAGGAGATTGATCGCCAGAACCTGATCGTCGCTTCAAGCAACCCGCCAATTGGTCTCCCCGGTCACCAGTCCTGCATCTTGGAGCAGACAGGCGACTTCGAACTGAGAGTCACCAAGCGCAGGCCAGACCTACCTGACTCATCAGAAAACAAGCTATCAAAGTCTGTTTCAACCAAGCTGGATGTTCTGGTCCACTCCTGGGCGCCCGCCAATCTCTGCCGCAAAATGGTAGCCGAGGACAACCGATATCGCGTTCGTGACCTCTCCATAACTTCTCTCCGCCAAGATCCGCGCATCAGGATGTCCATTGGTCCTATCATTGAAGGATTGGGATGGTCTCACCCCGTTTCGCTAGAGGAGTTGCGACTCAACTTCGTGAATTGCGCCGAGTACGGCAGGGCAATGATCTCTAGTGAGATGAATGAGCGACCAAGGATTATCAACATGGAGTCCATCAAACTGCTCCAACTCCACGAGTGCGACGGCAACATTGAGTTGATCAAGGGTATCTGTGAAGGTTCAGTCAACGTCGAGACATTCCTGTTCTCTGTGAACGACGGAGCGATCCATGACGACGAGGAAGACGCTCTTGTGCAGTTTGTTCAATCGGCGAAAAACTTGCGTACACTTTCTCTCGCATACATACCTCCTCCCATCCCGGCAAAGACACAGTCGTCCGACAGCCCAGAGCTCGCTGCCGACGAAGACTCTCCGGTAATGAGTCCCGGTAGTCGCCTCGACGGTACCCAGGAGCAGGCGCATGATGATGTCGATCAAGCCGTCTTCACGCAGGAGTATTGTCGTTTCCCTCTTGCTCGTCTTCTCGGTCCGGTGAATCGTCAACTACGCAGCCTGGCGCTGACACAAGATCTGGGATGCAAGATTCGCACGGAGGACTTGGTCTACATTGGCAATACATGTCCCTATTTGACAGACCTCGCCATAGCCTTCCCCGACATCGCCGACACTTTTCCAGGGGCCTATCTTGACGCCTACGTCAAGCTGCAACTCAAAGCTCTCGCCGATGTTCTCAAAGCCTACCAGAACCTCAAATACCTCCAGCTCATCGCAAGCGGCGCCCACCGCGACCTCTCTCCTGGATACGTCTCCCCCCTAGAGCGCATTACGCGTCTAGTAATCAAGAGTCTTGCAGAACATGGTCTGCAGATCGAATACTTCACCATCGCCCTTCGTAACGATGAACATCCGCATGCATACGGCGCCGAAGCATGTCATCTTCGCGTCCATCACGATGCCGATTTGTCTGAGACTGTGGGTGAGAAGACACTGAAGCGCGACATGGCTATGTATGGCGATTGCTTGCGATGCAACTTTGAGGATGTTGTGCAGAAGAAGACAGGCTTTGCGTACGATTACTGAGTGCTGGTGGAGGAGGAGGATGGTGCGTGGGATGAGTCAAGTAGTTCTTGGATGAAGTTTGCGCATCGACGCCATAGCCAGAAGATGATCAATGATACCAATGCCCCCTGTCACGAGACTTATGCAGTACCGTGATGACCTTCAATGCCCTCCCTGACTCACAATTGCGCTCCTCATACACGTTGGAACCTTCTGGCCTCTACAAAATATACATGGAAAGAAGTGTTTGATTACCATCTCGTGCTCTTTCGAACACTTTGTGCCGACCAAAACGGGTTCCGTATACGATTACTTCGAGAGATGAGGGTGGAGCGTGGGGTACTTCAACTGTGTTCATAGCCATACCTGTACGTAGATGCCATAGCGAAGAGGCATTCAATGATAAAACTCTTCTCATTCTCGACGTCTTTACGGTATCCTGTGCCATTCAGTACCTTCGCGGCTATCACTCTGTAAATACCATGGGCACTGAATACCTCCCGGCCTCCATATTAGCGAGCTATCTTCAAGGTGTAACACGTTTGTATCCCCCTCGACATGCCGTGTATCTAGATGTTTTAGTATGTATGTATACACTATCGCTACTGATTAAGCCATCTGAAAGCGCACCAGAGCACTGCCGTCAATCAAGAATACCTCTGCATGTCTCCAATTACCGTCCCAAAGCACACTAGAGCACTATGTCCAGTCAACATCCCCCTTGCATATCAAGTTTTTCACGTGACCGTGGGGTTATACAAGTATACCCCAGTCTCAGAACATGACCTTGTTGAGGTACCGTGATGTGCTTTGATACCTCAGCCAGATGCGCGTGCACTCGGGAAACACAGCGAATACCTCCAGCCTCATATATCACCGTAAAGAAAGACGTCTGCGAACCTCAAGTAGTTGCCAGGGTAAGGTGAGTAACCAACAGCAGCACAGCCAAGACATAGCATATTGACAAGGTAATTGACTTTCATCTCAACTCATATAGTATATAAAGTGGCAAAATGGTATCATACGCCATCCAATCCACTCCATGATGAGACAACCAAAACCCCACCTTGGGAAAAGCAAACTCCACACGCAGTAGTCTAGTATACATATGTGACAGCGCCGAGGGTATCAACCGGTGTTGTGATCTCCGGGCGCGCCATCTGCTCCAAAGCCATTGTTTCCGAAGGTGCCGTCGCCAAAGTAAAGCATATCATGGGGTAGGTACTCCAAGTCCCAAGGCATCATGTCGGCGCCTAGTAGTGACATGTCGACGTCCTGTGTGTCGATGACCATGTCGCCGAATGTGTTGTCTGAAGGTGTGTTGAAATTTCCGAATGTAGGTGAAAACTCGGTTTGAGGTGTAGGTTGTAGCTGATTGTGTTGGGCAGATGAGCGGGTATATGAAGTCGGATTTTGTAATGGCGTTCTTATGGCTGTTGGCGAGCCGCCTGAGAACGGAGAATGCAGATTCAGAAGCAGGTCAGCATCTGAAACCAATACTGGATCTGGTGTGGGCATGTGGTTGAAGGTTGGGTTTGAGGGCGGCGGAGGCATGGATGCCGAGCTGAATTGCGAGAAACCCGATGGTGATGCTATAGATTGGCGTGGCTCGAATTTGATGGGAGGATCGGATATCAATGATGCGATAGAAGGCTGAGTACTTGCTGGGAGTGTTTTGGAAGGTGGCGGCCTCGTACTCCGGTTTTCGCCATTCTCGGAAGTGTACATGACAGCGACGTTGGTTGATGGAGAGTTCATGGTACCAGTAAGTGACCATCCGATTGCTATGAACTGTTAGTGAGATTTCGAGAACATGGGCATTGATAACATACCTTGACTGGGGTGTACCATGGGCGAGCCAGGCATATTCGGCGTTCTCGCGCCCTTCCGAATGGCGGCTGCCATCTTTGCGACGTCCGCGTCAGAGTTTTGTGCAGTCAGATAAGTTCCCCAGCTCAGTTTCCTCCTCCAACCAGGGCTAGTGAAAGATGGCTCGGGTCGAGGGGCTTCTAATGCACTTTCCATCTCCTCGGCAGTGTACAGCAAGGGGTCGCCAACACCCTTTGCCTTTTGGTCTAGCACAGTCATGATGTACTTGACACCCGCCCAGTAGGTTTCCAAGGCCTTGAGGGCACGATAACAGCGTTGATAGTTTTGGTTAGCAGCGGAAGCGAGCAATGTGTGCTTAGCGGCGGTCTGCTTTTGTTCCAGATCTCTGGTAGAGCTGTTGTTTGGATTCAGACGGTCAAGAGATTGATGGTTGGCAGCTTTTTGCCAATTCTCCCCGTGCCGGCCAGGGCTTGCAGGGCGAGACTGAGGCTGCGACGAAGCTGAGTGCAGCGCGGTCTCTTTGAGGAAAGCACATGCGGCGATGTATATTGGTTGACTAAGAACAGTCAGTATGCGAGTTTTGCATCGGGAACCTAACCTTATCCTACCTGGTAAAAGGATTGCCGATGCCAGTCTTCAGATCAATGAGCTCGGTAAAGGCCAGGATGTCGGCAACAGTCTTTGCAGAAGACATGGAAAGCTCCCTGCTATTGGTGGACAGTGATTGCGGTGTTCCCTCAAACGTCCTGAGCAACGTTGGCTGATGCAGAAGAACGATCAAGGTATGGAACCAGCAATGGAGGAGGAGAAAGTTAGTGCCCTGGTGGAGCTTGACGTATTGCTGAAAGTTGACCGCATTGAAGTGCAGCTTGGGCGACAGGTTCTGATAGATGCCCGTCAGCCTATCTTCCCAAGCTCCGAGTTGCTTCTGTAGGTCAGCAGTAATATCAGCGGCACTTCGTATCCGGTTAAGGAGATCAGTAACACGGCCGTATAGATGGATGATGCGGATCAGCGCAGGAAAGGGCAATGGCCAACCGGAAGAGTCCACTTCATCCAGAGAGGGAAACGAGATCTCGATGTCGCGATCGCGAAGGGTCACCGGCCGTCCTGTTCCAGAAGATATAACGCGGTCGAGGAAGAAGATGGACCAGAAAGTGTCCAGCCTCTCTCGCTCGGCAGCTCTCTGCTCTTGCTCCTCTGCGCTAGCCCCCTGATTGTCTAAAACTGTGGATTGCTCCGAATGCCGTCCACCATCCGGGTCGCTCTTGACAGAATTTGGGGTTGGGCCTTTTCGTCCCTCATACTTCAGGCCTCCCACAGACTGCATGCCCAGATCCTGCGCCATTCGTATGGCAATCCCCAGATACATCCAGAGTCCACTGTCGCGACTCGCACCGAATTCATCATATGCAAGAAGCAGCGCCGCCTGTACCACTGCTACACTGGGACACGGAAAAGCGTCGGGAATAGCTGACTTGGCTCGCTGCGCAAACGCTTGGCCATGCTCAGAAGGCGGGATCGTGGAGGGTTCTGCATCGCCTTCCTTCTGCACGTCGCTCTTGCCTGTCAGCATAGGATGTGTCGAAAATCGGGCCGCTAACGCACAGACGGCATCTACGAGGATTGCGTCTACCTGCTTCTCCTCCAAGTCACGCATGAAGCGCTCTCGTTGTAGGAATGGGAAGGAGCAGCCGAGATGCACAAAGAACAGCTTGCAGAGGTGGGTAATGAGTGGACTTGGAGACATTGACGAGGCGTCGTATACGGGTATCTCGGCGGGTGTACGGGCTTCTGGCACTGGTGGTGAGCCTACTGATGGTTGCGCGGGTGAGGACTCGATTGCGTGTTCTGGACTTGTTAGCTACATGATACGGAGTTACAGCAGAGCAGTAAGAGCCGGATGCGCCGGCCTTTGTACAAGCACAACCTCATGGGCTGGTTGCTTGGCTTCTGAGACACAGGTGCTCTCCGGTAACAGCATCACGAGCTGCATATCCATGGTGCGCGGGATGAACGTACGATCTGATGTAGTCTGAGCACTACCATGCTGCTTTCCTCGCACTTTGACCACCATCTGTCGCAAACCGGGCAGAATGGCTGTAGGCCCAAAGTATCTGAAATATGGCATTCTGTTCCGCGTGCTCAGGCTTAAGCCTCCGCTGCTTCCGGTCGACTCAACCTTGGGCGAGGCATGGACGCTTGATTCGGAAGTTTGCGACGTCGTATGGGGAAGGTGCGGCCGTGTGAGCAGCGGGTCGATGGGAGGCTCTTGTTTTCGGGAAGGCGCGCTGTTCGAGACAGAGCTCTCTCTTCTTGCAGCCTTTTTGCCTTCTTTTTGGTGTTCGCTCGTGCCATTATCGTCTCCGTACCCGGCGCATTCGTGCTTGTTCTGGACACAGGTTCCACACACAGGTCGCTCACCTACTCCACCGTCAGCAAATGATAGACAGACTTGCCAAACTCCGTACCAGAACACCGCGTCTTCTTCTTCCTGCATGTCAGGCACGCGGAATTGATGCGCCGCCTCTTCGCATAGGGACCATCATGGTTCGTCACAAAACGGATAGGCTTGGGCTGGGGCGCGGCAGCATTCGCAGAGGCCGTCTGAGGGGCTCCTTGATTCATTAAAAGCAGAGTGTGGTCTCAGCGGCAAACGGGAATGACCGCATCAAAGGCCGTGTTGGATGCTGCAGGGAAGGTAGATTTGAGTGGGGTAGCAACAGCTGCCAGATGCGCGTCAACGGTCGATCACGAGCCAGACCAGACAGTGGAGAAGCTGCGAAGAGACGAGAAGCTGTGGAGAAGCCAGCGCATATTCAGCAAGGCTGGCACAGGGCGATCGGCAAACGCTACGACGTGACTCTGCTACCCGACGGGCGTGTGTTGACGACGAGTGGTGGTCTGGGTTGCGGAGCGGAGAACCCCAGATTAGTCGTCGACGCTACCCGGGCCATGCATCAATTCATGTCCGAGCGCGTCTGGCGTGCTGGGAAAAAGTCGCCGCGGCGGTCCCACCTGGGCTGGGAGCAGCGTGCACGCCATCTGCACCCTCGCCCAGCACCGCCATGGAGTCAATCCGCCCAGCCCTCGCCAGCATCCGGCTGTCGGCGCCCAAGAGAGCCTACAGGCCCCTCTACCAATGTCTGCACACATCAGCGGCGCGGGGCGCCACGCCGCTGCCTCATCCA